TTGTTTTGTTTATTTTGTTTTGCTCTGTTTTGTTTTTTGCCAGTCGGAGGACTTAAACTTAGGGCCTGAGCACTGTCCCTGAACTTCTTTTGCTCAAAGCTAGTACTCTAGCACTTGAACCACAGCACCACTTCTGACTTTTTCTGTTTATATGGTACTGAGGAATCGAACCCAGGGTTTCATGCATGCTAGGCAAGCACTTACCACTAAGCCACATTCCCAGCTGATGTTATTATTATTATTGTTGTTGTTGCTGTTTACAGAAATGATGAACAGAGGGGTTACAGTTAAATAAGTCAGGTAATGAGTACATTTCTTTTTGGAAAATGTCTCTGCCAGGTTTTCCCTTCCATCCCCACCCACAAATTCAATAGTTCATTTTCAAAATAGTGTCTAGGGAGTACCACCGCTGCATTTCCTCACTCTTTGTCCCTCAGGCATCTTTTGAAAGTGTCTGATTCAGAAAAATGATTTAAAAAATTGTCTCCTTAAATTGAATTTAATAGGTCAAGTATGGTGGTACATGTCTGTAATCCTAGAACTTGGGGTGGGGGGGAGGGCTTGACATACATTCTTTTAAAACTGTAGATCATCTTAGGGTTCAACTCAAATTTTAGGATTCAGTTCTCATCATGGCTTAGTTCTAGCTTTCTCATTTCCTTTACAGAATCCAATGACTTGAAATACAACTGGTGTCAACCATAAACCCATGTGTATAGGTCCGAAGGATGCTCTTAAGAGAGGAGAGCCCCTGTGTTTCCCTAGTTCTCTTGGATTCCATTCTTGCTCTCCCACCCTCTGTTCTTCAGATTTTCAACTTGGATGACAGAATTTTGTCTCAGTATTGTTCTAAAAAGAAGCTATGAAGGTAAAGAGAATAAAAATATTTGATAAATTATTTTTAAATAGACAGGCATGGTAGTTCACAACTGTAAACCCTTCTACTCAATGATCAGAAGGATCATGGTTCAATGTCAGCCCTGGCAAGAAGTGAGACTCTATTATCAACAAAAAAGCATAAGGCACATGCCTGTTATTCCAGCTATGCGGGAGGTGTAAGTAAGAGGACTCACTCAGGAGGACTGGGGAGAAAATGTGAAAGCCTACTTTGGGACCTCCCAAGAGGGCATGAATCTTAAAGCCTTTCAAAAACAGTATCTTAGGGGGCCTGTGTCATGATAGGAGCCAGTGACATTCACACTTTGAAGAAGAGCTACTGGGTCTGTCCTGGCACAGATGAGGGTCTAGGGCAGCCAGCAGCCAAGTCATATTCCACTCCTGGAATTTCAGGGGAAAAAAATATGTAAGAAAAAAATCACTAAGAAAAAGGTCTGGGGAGCCGGGCGTCAATGGCTCACGCCTGTAATCCTAGCTACTCAGGAGGTTGAGATCTGAGGATCACAGTTCAAAGCCGGCCCAGGCAGCAAAGTCCGTGAGACTCTTATCTCCAATAAACCACTAGAAAACCGGAAGTGGTGCTGTGGCTCAAGCAGTAGAGTGCTCGCCTTGAGCTGAAGAGCACAGGGACAGCGCCCAAGCCCAGAGTTCAAGCCCCATGACTGACCAAAAAAACAACAACAAAAAGAAAAAGAAAAGAAAAAGGTCTGGGGGCTGGGAATGTGGTAGAGTGCTTGTCTAACATGCATGAAGCCCTGGGTTTGATTCCTCAGCTGGAACTGGCACTGTGACTCAAATGGTAGAGTGCTAGTGCTAGAGTGCTACCTTTGAGCAAAAAGCTCTGGGACAGTGCCCAGGGCCTGAGTTCAATCCCCAGCACTGGCAAAAAGAAAAGAGAGAGAGAGAAAGAGAGAGGGGGGAGGGAGGGAGGGAGGAAAAAGGAGAAGGGAAGAAGGAAGGGAGGAAAAAAGGAAGGAAGGAAGGAAGGAAGGAAGGAAGGAAGGAAGGAAGGAAGGAAGGAAGGAAGGAAGGAAGGAAGAAAGGAAGGAAGAAAGGAAGAAAGGAAGGAAGGAAGGAAGGAAGGAAGGAAAAAAGGAAGGAAGGAAGGAGAAAGAAAGAGAGGGAAAGAGAGAGAGAGAGAAGACAAAGGACTAGAGGTAGAGTACCTGCCTTGCAAGCATAAAACCCTGAGTTCAAACCCAATATTACCAGAAACAAGTAAATATAAATAAGTGTAAATAATTATTTTGGTTGTTTTCAACACATAGGATCCAAGAGCATAGAAACTATGAAAAGAATTGAGAGGAGGGATCCAGATCTTCAAAGTGACTTTCTAAGGTTAACGTGAGAGTGGCTTTACAAAACACACAGAAAACAATAAAAACAGACAGGCTGATCCATCAAGGATAAAATAAATAAGAATATTTTATTAACTTGTTGAAGGTACTAATAGTCAGATGTAGAGTTAAATATCATCTTTCCTATGTCATTTACAATGAAATACAACAGAGAAGAATAAAGTGCATTACAAATCCAACACCACAAGGTGTTAAGATTTTGGAATATGAGTGAACATATGTCTTGCGCAGTTACACCTTTTACTTGCACTTCACACAAACAAACCATTGCCCCACAAATCATTCTACAAATACACACATGTAAAAATAGAACAGAAGGAGTGTTGTTGGGGATTCTGTTTCATTAGGCTTGATAATTGGCAAAACAAAGAAAATGTTAGTAAATCACCACATAGGGAAAGGAAACTTTGGGACCTCCCAAGAGGGCATGAATCTTTTTTTTTCTTTTTCTTTTTTTAAAGAAGTTTATTTATTTATTTTTTTGACAGTTGTGGGGCCAGCTCTTCAGTTCAAGGCGAGCTCTCTTGAGTCACAGCACCACTTCCGGCTTGTTTTTGTTTGTTTGTTTGTTTTGCTTATGTGGTGCTGAGGACTTGAACCCAGGGCCTCATGCATGAGGGGCAAGCGCTCTACCACTGAGCCAACTTCCCAGCCCGAGGGCATAAATCTTAAAGCCTTTCAAAAACAGTATCTTAGGGGGCCTGTGTCATTCAAACCAGTGACATTCAAACTTTGAAGAAGAGCTACTGGGCCTGTCCAGGCACAGATGAGGGTCTAGGGCAGCCAGCAGCCAAGTCATATTCCACTCCTGGAGTTTTCAGGGGGGAAAATATGTAAATACGCAAGTGTAGCCTTAAAGGCTAAACTTACAAGAAAGGAGGTAGAGAAGAAATTCCAGATATACTTCTGTCTGGAAGCAGATAATAATAAGGCAGTCTATCCTTACTGAATTGAATCAGTATACCCTGGGGAGCCATAACTCTCCCTTTAAGCAAACACAAAATTAGCCAGATTCAAACTCAGAAAGCAAGTACTTAAAAATGCTGGTTGTCTAAAGGTTTATATGGTAGACAGCCAGCACTGTCTAAATCTTATGGAAGATACGAAGAGGCTAGGAGAAAGTAAACTAGAAACAAACTAAGACACAATTCTTGACTGTTTGGAATTTCAAATCTGTTCTGGCTTCTATAGAAGAATTAATATATTAAATAACAGTTAGCAAAGTGCATTGTCAATGCATAAAGTGCTGCCAGTTATGAAAAAACGTTAATGTACTTTTAAGATACCTATCTTCATAATAATACATGTTTTTAAAGGCTGTTTTTGGAGAGGTAAAGTGGATGCTAAGAGGGTGGAATAAAGACTTTTTATGATCTGTTATTGGAGCATTTGAATATTGAACCATGGAAGAGTATGGATTCAAATTTTAACAGCATTTAAATAAAAAAGAGCTACTAAGGAATACTAGACACTATACACAAAACATAGATTGTGCAACAAAAACAAATAAATCAGGGGTAAATATAATGCTAGCAAAGGAGCCCAAGCATTGTTTTCCACAGACTTTTAAGTATTGACTTCTCATAAATGAAAACTCTTTTGATTATTAACAGGTTTGAATACATCTAACAGATACTTGGTCTACCTCACATCAATATACTCAATGCCTGGCACATGGCAAGACATAATTTAATATGTCAAAATTCTTAATAAATAGGTTTTAGATGAATACATTTCTCAAAGCCCAGCTGTAAATTGTATTCAGAAAAGACAGTATGTACATTATGGAAATCTGAGGGCTGCTATTTACTTCTGTGGGCAAGTGTCTTAATCATTCTGCATCTTAGTTACAAGATAAATATAGTGGAGCCAGGTGCCAGGGGCTCACGCCTGTAATCCTAGCTACTCAGGAGGCTGAGATCTAAGGATCGGGGTTCAAAGCCAGCCCAGGCAGGAAACTCTGTGAGACTCTTATCCCCTATTAACCACTGGAAAACTGGAAGTGATGCTGTGGTTCAAGCGGTAGTGCACTCGCCTTGAGCTGAAGAGCTGAGGGACAGCGCCCAGGCCCAGAGTTCAAGCCCCACGACCGACCAAAAAAAAAAAAAAAGATAAATATAGTGATAGTGGTTGCCATAGTGGGAGTATTAATCAGGATGAAATGAGATTGTGTAGCTATGGTCCCACGTCGTTGTGAAGCTGATATTTAAATAGGGCAGACACTGTGATAGTAGAGACTTGAGGTGTGAGAATAAGATGATTCATGTTAACCTAAACATCAGTGGGTTAAATAACGTAAGATCGCACATACCTAGGGGTTGCTCTTTATCCTTCCTCTTTGTAATAACAGTTCCTCATGGTACCAAGCACCTGACAAATTTGATGGCAACATTTTCACATTTACTACAAAGTAGCCTCAAAATAAATCATTAACAACCACATTCCCATGATGAGAAGACCCCCACACACACCAAAAAAAATCGAAACAACTCAAATAGTCTTCTAATCCTTGAACTTCTGGTCCCTACAAGATGGATTTGGGCACTGAGTAGAGGCAAAGGGCATTTCTGCAAGAACTGACCATCAGGGATTCTCAGCCCACTCTCCTAAACGAGTGATGGGCCACATGCAGGAAGGCTCCTCACTCAAGAGTGTTGGCTTTCCCTTTGCAAGGCACCAATGAGGCTCTCCATTGCTTTGAAGTCTCAGGGTTTCCTCCCAGGTTCCAGCTTTCTTCATTCTCTCTGTTTTCCCCTGGTTCCACATTCAGAGCTTTGGCCTTTAAGTCCAACATCATCTGGATCCCACAGGCCCTCTCATTTGTGAACTTCCAAACTCTAAGCTAAGAATCCCTCCTTGAAGATCAGAAGTTCAATGATGATTATGTCTCCTCAAACTGTGTGTCTGGAGAATGATGACAGTATATTAATTTTATTAAGCATTATGGGGGGAAAAGGTAAAACAAACTCAGTCTGTCATACCATACAACAGTAAGAGAATGAGGTAAAACATATTTATGCTGTTACCCTTACATGATAAAAGATAACTAACCATTCCGGTTTATCCAAGATTTTAAAGCTGAAAGTCTGATATCTTGATAAACTCCTCAGTCCTTAGCTGACTGGGAAGGTTGGTTTTGTAGGAAGATCCAAATACTTACTAACTAGATTTATAACATAAATGGCACACATAATTAAACCTGACTGGGCTTGTTCAAATTCAGTACACTAATTTAAATCAGAGCTCATTGTTTAGTTTAATAAAACTTGGGAGAGGTTTTTCCACCCTTTAGTAAGTGTAGACATTTGTAGCCAAATGGAATGATGCAAATTGAGTTAGAGTGAAGATTTCCTGTTAGGCTAATGGACCAGAGAATTTTATTTTTGTCATTAGCTGTGTGCTCTTGGTACTTTACATTATCGTCTTTGTCCTTTGTTTTTCTCTATATAACTGGAATGATTCTAGTATTTATCTCAGTTTGGGGGCAGGGGGTGAACTGAGATATTTCATCCAACAGTTGAGACAGTTAACAGTGGTTGACGTACACCACTGTAGGATTAATGAATTAGTAGTTAATGGTTCATCTGTAAGTTGATATAGTCCCTGATAGCAGGAAAACATTGGGATACAGACTTAGGTTAGCAAAGAGAAACTGCCCATCTTTCTCTTTCCTCGCTCCACAAAGCTGATCACTTTTCACTGGAGGACCATTCCTAAATCTCTTCAAATGTGGGGGAGTACTCAGGTTAGACTGGCAAAGCAGAGTAGGGCCGGCAGTCTGTATAACAGACATTTTTTATAGGAAATGAGATCATAGTGGATAGGTTTCCCCCTGCTATTGCTTTAGTTTTTTTTTCTTTCCTTTTCCTTCAACTTCCCATATTTTCTGATATTCTCTCTCAACACTTTCTTGCTTTGAATTTGTATCTCAGATGCCACATTTTTCCACATCTGCCATTCTAAGAGGAAAAGAAATCAGTTCTATTTTTATAGAGCACACATCTACATCCCACTTGACAAACCTCCTATGAAACACTCTTAATTCTAACTCACCACACTAATTGTGACTCCTTATATCAGGGCCCCAACCCTTTAGGTTAATTAACACATAAGTTTAAGGCACATACTTTTACTCGTAGATTTTTCTTTATGAGCATATACTTTTCCATCTTTCCCAGGGATAGACCAAATTATAAGGAACCCTATTATCTCTTGGTTTTCTGGCCATTCATAAAGCCAGTGAATCTTTTCTTTTTCCCAAAGAAACAAGAACAAAAAAAGAAAAACTAATGTTTCCAGGGGCCTGTGCTGTTGGATTTATCCCGTTTCCTAACTCAGGAAGCAAATAAGTGTGCACACTGGGAAAACCTGTCCTACTTCAACATGGAAAAAAAAAACAGGAATTTTCAACTGAGCAAAGGATTACAAACAAGAGGACATGGATTGCAATCCTAGCTCTACCACCAACCAACTGGGTAACTTGAAACAAGCCAGGGAACCCTTTTGTGGTTTTCAGTTTCTACAGCTCCCAAGTAGAGAAAATAATATCTTATATCTTATCCTGCAAATTAAATGGGACATTTATTGTGAAAACATACTTGCTGCCACCATTCTTACAGAATGGCAGAATAAACTCCTAATGAAGGCCAGAAAAAAAGTAGTTAGCAATAATCACATCTTCATGCAAATCTTAATGCTCATATAATTGTCAACTACCTTAGGTCTGACAAGAGCCCTCATCTTTGGAAACTGGTTAGATTTAAACCCCTCTCCTACCCAGGTAAGACCAGTTTCCCAGATCCACCCATCCTTTCTAAGAGCTTATGGGGAATTTCTCAACAACTACTGGAATTCCCTTCCATATTCTACTTCCCTATTTCACATCAAACAATTCTATTCAAAGATGATTGGATTTCTTGTTATGTGTCTCAATCTGGGGGAAATGTTTACTCTGAATCTTCTTAAAATGGAAGGAAATTATTTAAATATATTCATTTCCTTGGAAATTAGTCACTCCCAAGAGTAAGTAGAGAAATAAACACATGCAAATTACTTTTAATGATGTAACACTTCCTTCAGATATCTTGCAAAATAGTCCTATGGTAAAAATACCACAGCACTATAGAAGGAATTATTTTTATTATATATGATACCCAGAAATCAGCTCAATGTAATGTTGCAACTAATGCAATACTCAAATCCAACTGACACCCTCAGGTGTTTTTAGTGCTTTCTCTTCTAAGGCTCTGCTTCTTTGCATGGTAGGAATAAACAGTAGTTTCTTCCACTGAGTTTTCTTCCACCTCCACAGATATCCATCTTCCCACCCAACACTGCTGTATACCAGATCTCCACACAGCAATCCCATTCTGCTCCATTGTGATTTCTATTGCACAGTGAAATGTCACTGTATCACCTTGCAAAAATAAGTCAGTTTCCTTAAAGCCATTATCCCATCTCGTCCCTCAAAAATGCTACTGGAGGATTCAGTTCCACCCTCCAACATAGACGATGCTCCAGAATATCAAAATGAGCAGGCCCGATAAAAGATGTGGCACACAGGTGCACCCCAGCGATAGCTAAAACCTACTTTGCATAATTGAAAGTGAGCCCTGAAAGGGAAAGCTAAGAGGAAGGAAGGTAGCATATCACTACATCAGTGTTGCCAAATTGCATTTTGAGTAGGACAGGACATTGTGATGTGGGACTGGCCTGCACATGATAAGATATTTAGCTTCTCTAACTCTGCCTACTAAGTGCCACTATGGCAACAATAACATCTTCAAGCACTACCCTAGATCCCCAGTGAAAACCATTGCAATGAAGGACATACCATCTTTTCTTAAGCAGATGAAGACTGCGAGTGTGACAAAAAGGAATAGCAAGAAGGATCCCAGCATCACCAAGTGAGTCCTCTTGTCTTCAGAAAGGCCCACAGGTGGTTCTGAAAAACAAAAAGAATTGACTTTATGTATATATAAAAACGCACCTGTAATATCTATATATATGTGTGTATATATATATATATAGAGAGAGAGAGAGAGAGAGAGAGGTATATTTGCAGTCCTTTATATTTGCAGGGCCTCTTCCTTGCTAGGTAGGTTCTCTAGCACTTAAGCCACTCTGATAGCCCTTTTTGCATGGTATTTTTGAGATAGGATCTCATTTTTATTCCTTTCATCCCTTCCCTCATTGCTGGGATGACAGGCATGAACCACCACACCCAAACATCCATTGAGAATCCATTGAGATGGAGTCTTTCAAACCTTTTGGGGGGCCTTGGGTATGGACTTGAACTATGATCTCCGAGTCTCCACCACTCAAGTAGCTAGGATTCTAAGTTTGAGCCACCACGCCCAACTAATGTTTTGTTGGGAACTGGTCAAGAGAATAATCATGCTAGAAGCTTAGTTTGGCCTTAGATTAATTTTCTTAAATACATGAAGTTAATGACCAGTGAGGGTATAATTTTGATAAGAAAGTGAGAGCCCTGGAGAAGTGGAGGAATCCTAGGCTTTGGACAGGTGAAAGTGGGACTGAATTCTGCTGTTCTTACCCAGTTTTGAGACTTCTATGATTTTTCTGTGTGTGTGTGTGTGTGTGTGTGTGTGTGTGTGTGTGTGTGTGTTTGTGTGTGTGTGTGTGTATCGGTCATGCGGCTTGAACTCAGGGCCTGAGCGCTGTCCCTGAGCTCTTCAGCTCAAGGCGAGTGCTCTACCACTTAAGCCATAGCACCATTTCTGGTTTTCTGGTGGTTTATTGGAGATAAGAGTCTCACGGAGTTTCCTTCTCAAGCTGGCTTTGAACCTTGATCATCAGATCTCAGCCTCCTGAGTAGCTAGGATTATAGGTGTGAGCCACCAGCGCCCAGCTTATCTCTAAGATTTCTAAGCAGGCTACAAAATGGAAATACTAAGAAATTTCTTGTGAGGCTCTCGGGTGCTTAGCATAGTACTACAGTACTTGACTGCTCAATACTAAATGGCAGTCTTGATGATGTCACTTCCTCTTGCATTCTTAAAGATAGGACTAAGCCCACTAGCAAGGGTAGCCCACAGAGGAACAGGGAAGATCAACCTGTTAAGGAACTTCTGTTCCTCACATAGGAACCAAGGCTACTTATTTTTCTCCCAGACTCTATCTGTGGTTCCACCCAGGAGGAAAAGGAGTACCATGACACAAAGATGCCATCTCTTGACATAAGAGCCTCTTCCTTATTTTGTAAACATTTTTTCCTATTTGGTCACAATACAATATATAAAGAAAATTGGTCAACTTTTTAACCCAAATTTTCATTAGTTTTCTCTGTCAGTTTCATTCTGGAGTTTGACTGTCAACATCTATTAGGGGAAGGGAGTGAGAAGTGACCTTAGAACCTTTTGTTGTTGGTGGTGGTGGTGGTGTTGGTGGTGATGGTGGTGGTAGTAGGGCTTGAACTCGGCGCCTGGGTGCTATCCCTGAGTTTCTTTTGCTCAAAGCTAGTGCTCCATCATTTGAGCCACAGCACCACTTTGAGTTTTCTGGAGATAAGAGTCTCACAGACTTTCCTACGTGGGCTGGCTTTGAACCATTATCCTCAGATCTCAGCCACCTGAGTAGGTAGACATGAGCCACTGGCTCCCAGCTTTCAGAACACCTTTGGGTTTACATTAAACAATTCCCCTGCCTGATACCAGCAGCTCACTCTTGTAGTTCTAGCTACTCAGAAGGCTGAAGTCTGAGAATAATGGTTCACCATCAGCCCAAGCAGACAAATCCAGCTTACTCTTATGTCCAAATAACCAGAAATAAAGATGTGGTGCAAATGGAAGAGTGCCAGCTGTCAGCTAAAAAATCCAAGAACACCCAGGTTTGTAGTTCAAAGCAGACTGCCCTGAGCTGAAATATTATAGAAGGCATATGGGGGAAAAGTATCTCTTCTGTTTGGAATAATATAGAAAACTATATTCTGCTTACTTCCTGCCACAGGAACTCTAGAAAGAAAGAAGCAACTCATGTGCTAGGGGTTTGGGTTCTGGAAACAGGGCAGTAGTTGAATATCACTCTTAAATCTCTCCAGCTTCTTCAATTATAGGAGCATTTCCCGCATGCAAACGTTCACTTACCTGTTTCTGGAGTGGGAACTGTCCTATTTGTTCATGAATAGCCAATGCCTAATATGCTGCTTGGCAAGTAGAGAATATTCAAAAACCATCTGCTGAATATTTATTATGCAGCACTATGACTTGGGGGTGTGAGAAGAAATAGCATGTATTTAATAAATAGAGTGTTATCCAGTCATTCACTTATCCAACCCTCATCTAATGACTAGGATGAGCAGTCATCATGAGTTCGAGACATTTTGACATATTCAGACAGTTACCTGGGATGATCAATTCAGCTGTATTGTTTTCCCAGGAACCTAATCTCCGAAAAGTACAGTAGAAAATCTCATTGGCTGTAGTGTTGATTCTCAGCGTGCTGGTCACATTAAAAAACTTCTCCTCCCTCTGGGAATGGGTGATATTGGTCTCACCAATCAGGATTCGGTGGTCACTGCTTGTCCAGATGACTTCAGCCTCGGGGTATCCCTCAGCCTGACATGTTAGTTCATGTTTAGAGGTGACTGGATCCATGGAAATTCTCTGGTTGATTTTGTTGTATGGGGCTAGGTCATAAGCAAAGAGAAGTCAGAGATTTCTCCCATGATTACTCTTCCTAACTTGGCTTAGTGTTGCTCTGCGTTAGAAAGCTTCTCAATGCAGGCTGGTTCTCAAAGAAATAACCTTAATGTTCAGCTGCCTCACTAGTGGACTAGTGCCTGTTAGTCTGTCACAACAATTTCTTTCCAACTTGGACCAAGTTTGGGCACAGAAGAACAATTGTCTTGCTATAAACATTACAGTGGCATGTTTACTGGTTTAAACAAAATGTACAGATTTAAAGTAAATTGTCATCTTTTGTTCCAAACCAGTGGGTTTTCAATACAAATATAAAATATGTCTGTTTACTCAAGTCTTCCTATACTTTGCTATAAAGTGATAGAGATTTTACAGTCTCATTTTAAAATTTTATTCCTGATTATTTTCCTCTCATTGTTGGAAAGCTATCTTTATAAACCCTTCCACCTGTCAAGTACCATTTTGACTTTATTGAATAAGTTGAATTTGATGTGTCATTTGCTTTTGCAACTTTAGGTCAATCATAAGTTAGATATGAAAATCTATTCTTTTTCATTTGTAAAAAACCAATGCATGTTCTGAATGATGTTTTCTGAAGTTTAAATACATCTTCAAATTTGACCACGATTTTGGAGTTACAAAAAGTTACAAAACTTGCATGGCAGCTGTATGCCCCTTACTCATTTTGTGTCATTATTTACCTCTTATATTACCACAAGATAGTTCTTATCAGCACAAACACCAGGATGCTACTAACAGCTAAATCCCATAATTTCTGCCATCTCGTCATTCTTTCCCTCATATGCTATTTCTGATCCATTATAATATTTATTTTATAAATGCTGTGCTCTCTATATTAATGTCATTTAACTATTATAAGTAATACAGAAAGTGTGATTCCATTTTAGATAATTATTTTAAGAAGTTTTAGTATTAAAATACCAAGTTCACTGACTATTCTAGTGAACTGTATAGTGTATAGATATAGCATAGGATGTTAATTCTTGTTTGCTCATTGCAATGACATTATTGTGTTTTTATTCTATTGGCACAACAGTTCTTTTACTTGTAATACTGAGCCTCTCTGTGCTCAAGGCTAGCACTCTACCACTTGAGCCACATCGCCACTTCTTGCTTTTTCTGTGTATGTGGTACTGAGGAATTTAACCCAGGGCTTCATGCATGCTAGGCAAGCACTTTACCACTAAGCCACATTCCCAGCCCTATGATCATTTCTTAAGGGAAGAAGAATGAAAGATGATGTTGTTTCATACAGAGGAACACATATAAATGGAGTACAACTGCAATCCATTCCACAAGAATTATTATATACTACATCAGTCTCTAAAGCAGGGCACATAATGAAGATATATGATGAAAATGTTAGAACTTCTACTTACATGTAGTTTTATCACCAATTGAATAATTTAAGTTTCCTAAGCTTTGCTGATTGACACTAGGTCTCACCTTGTCTGCCACATAGGGATCTTCTGGGAAGAAGGGAATTTTATGTTATTTAAAGGAGGAGTTGACTCACATTGAGTTATAATAGATTTTCAGATTCTCTTGTAGCTAAACTAATCTTATAAAATGAGCTAATTAAAAAGCTTCCCAGGGGCTGGGAAGGTGGCTCAGTGGTAGAGCACTTGTCTTGCATGCATGAGGCCCTGGGTTTGATTCCTCAGCACCACATAAGCAAAAAAAGAAAAAAAAGCCAGAAGTGGCGATGTGGCTCAAGTGGTAGAGCACTAGCCTTGAGCTGAAGAGCTGAGGGACAGCGCCCAGGCCCAGAGTTCAGGCCCCACGACCAGAACCAAAAAAAAAAAGAAAGAAAGAAATGTACTCATTATCTTGCCCATGTAATTGTAACCCCTCTATACAGTATTTTCACAATTAAAAAAAAAAAAAAAAAAAAGCTTCCCACAAGCCAGGCACCAGTGGCTCAGGCCTATAATTAACCGCAAAACACACAAAAAAATGGAGCTGTGACTCAAGTGGTAAAGCACTAGCCTTAAGTAAAAAAGCTCACGGACAGCACTCAAGCCCTGAACTGAAGTACCTGGACCAGAAAAAAAAAAAAAAAAAAAAAGTGGGGGGGGAGGGGAGAAGGGTCAGGAGGGGAAAAAAAACTGGAAGAAAACAAGGGAGGGGGGTAACACTCTTTAAAAAGAAATGCACTCATTACCTAACTTATGTAACTAACCTCTCTATACATCATCCTTACAATTTAAAAAAAATTTTTTGGTTGGTCATGGGGGCTGAACTCTGGGCCTGGGCATTGTCCCTCAGCTCTTCAGCTCAAGGCTAGTTCCCTACCACTTGAGCCACAGTACCACTTCTGGCTTTTTTCTATTTATGTGGTGCTGAGGAATCGAACCAAGGGCCTCATGCATGCGAGGCAAGTACTCTATCACTGAGCCAACTTCCCAGCCCATAAAAAATTTTTTAAAGCTTCCCACAAAGAAACAGAATTTGAAGACAATACTAATATATAAAACAGAAACCAAAAGAAAAATATCAGAAGTAGCATTTTGTCACCCTATTATGAAGTTAAAACAGTAAGTACCTAATTGAGCCTGAAAAAGTGTTGCCTAAAATTTCAGTACTACAGAGACCACGTACATGTGTTAATAGTTAATTTTACTCTAAGAAACATTTTGTCTTGATATATTAATGATAATTAAGCATTACAATTAGCAAGACATTAAAGTATTGCTTGCTAGTCTAGTGCCAATAGCTCATATTTGTAATCTTAAATATTCAGGAGACTGAGATCTGAGGATCACAGTTAGAAGCCAGCCCAGGCAAGAAAGCCCATGAAATTCTTATCTCCAACTAACTACTAAAAAGCCAGAAGTGGAACTGAGGCTAAAGGAATAGAGTTCTGACCTTGAGCAAAAAAGCTCAGGAACAATACAAAGGTCATCAGGACTGGAACAAAAAAAAAATTTTTTTAATGTATAGTTAAATTTTCCCCCTCCAAAATGCCTGTTTTTTATACATTTAAAATGCATTTGTAATGCCAGGCACTTGTGGTTTATACCTGTAATCCTAGCTACTCAGGAGGCTGAGATTTGAGGCTATTTCCAATTAACCACCAGAAAACCAGAAATGGTGCTGTGGCTTAAAGTCATAGAGTGTGGCTGGTAATGTGGCTTAGTGGTAGAGTGCTTGCCTTGCATGCATGAAGCCCTGGGTTTGATTCCTCAGTACCACATACACAGAAAAAGCCAGAAGTAGTGCTGTGGCTTAAGTGGTAGAGTTCTAACCTTGAGCAAAAGAAGCTCAGCAACAGTGCCTAAGCCCTGAGTTCAAATCCCAGGACTGTCCAAAAAAAAAAATAGTCAAGTGCTAGCTTTGAGCAAAAAAAAGAGTTCAAAGACAGTGCTCAGGCCCTGAGTTGAAGCCCCATGATAGGAAAAAAACCCACTTAATGATTGATGCATTAGATTTCATACAATCCATATGAAACTGGTGATAATTATATTCTTTTGTCTTACAGAATGGCAATTTCTCTTGACACAATTTGTATATTATATGAAGTATATTTATATACATCCTATAGTTATATAGTGTACAGTTATATACACACTACCTTAAAATGGTTTTAGATGGGGTAGGTAACCAAAACTTTTTGCAAATCCCTGGTTTAGCAGATGGGCAATGTTGATCACCTACATTGGTTCAACACCAATAAATGCTTACTACTTTTTAAACCATTGTACAACTTGCTACAGACTCCAGAAGTGCAAAGATAGGCAGAAAAATACAGTTCTGGAGGGCAAACACTTCAAAGCCAGACTGCCTGAGTTTAGAAACTCACTTTGCCACTTACAAACTGGGTGGACTTTAGGTAAACTGCTTAAACTTCAAATATCATTTCCTCATTATTAAAATGGGAAGGATAATGCAATGTAAAATTGACTCTAAGATGCCTTATATTGAAAGACACATTAACATTTTAAGTGTAGTAAAATGCAAAAAAAATACTCATCTTAGATGTAATGAAGGACCTAGTCAAGTTGAAGAGTAAACAAACGTATAATATGAGCAAAAAGCTTAATACAGGGCCTAACACATACCAAGTGCAACATTAGTGTCAATATCTTCTTGCTAGCAGTAGTAGGAGCAGCAGTAATAATAGAATTGCTCCTCCTCTTCCTAAGAAAGTACTGACAGTTCCTGAACAGCCTTAGAAATAAATTTTCAACTTTTTACGTTCAAGTTTCAAGAATGTTAGGCCAGTTTTACTTGAGGAAATCATTCACTCATTCAACAAATACTTTTTATGTGTTCATATCACACTATTACTCTACTATATATGTCAAGTCCTAGGGATAAAATGATAATAAAACAGACAAAAATCCCTGGCTTTGTAGAGTTTATGTTCTAGGAGGAGGAAAGGGACAGTAATCAAAATACATCACATGATATACTACCGGACATATTAGATAAAGATAGATGTTATAGAGAATACTTAAATAGAGCTGGCGTTTCTTAGGGGAGGAATGTAATTGGTGGAGAATAACAGTTAATCTCTGATCCATGTTATTAAAATAGCTTTTTTTTTTTGTCAATCATGGGGCTTGAACTCTGGGCTTGGGTGCTGTCCCTCAGCTCTTCAGCTCAAGGCAAGCGCACTGCCGCTTGAGCTACAGCACCATTTCTGGTTTTCTAGTGGTTTATTGGAGAAAAGAGTCTCACGGAGTTTCCTGCCCGGGCTGGCTTTGAACTGTGATCCTCAGATCTCAGCCTCCTGAGTAGCTAGGATTACAGGCGACCTACCAGCACCCGGCTAAAATACCTTTATAAGGATAACTACGCAATACTTTGTTCTTTCAGTTGTTCGATCTCATTAAAGCTTCTGAAAGTATTAAATGGCCATCTCATTTTCCCTGAATGAAAATTCCCAAAACTATATTAAGTTCAATGATTAAAGAAAAACATTTTCAATTGAAAGTTCGATACCTAGCTGGGTGTTGGTGGCTCACACCTATAATCCTAGATACTCAGGAAAGATGTAATAACACCCAAAGTAATAGTGACAATTGAGTTAACCCAAAGTACATCCTTTCAAATTTCAGTTTTAAAATTCCTCACCTTTAAAACCCCATGATGAGTAAACTCCCCAGGGGGAAGCTGAATTACCACACATTTGCAGTGATGGGAAGAGAAGTCCAGCAGTTACTATGAAATCATTTGCATAAGGAGGTGACTCAGGAGTTCACTTCCTTGGATGTAAAACTTCTACATTCCAGCCACTACACTTCCATAAGTAGCACTGTCTCTGTGTATGCAAGCTTCATGGCTAGATTTGTTCAGGAGATCAAAGTTTCAGACTCTTGGTCTAACTCAACTTATGTCCCCCAAACCACATGTAAATGACAAGAATACAATTTAGTCATTTCTAACATAAATTGGAATGGTCAAACAAATCAAATCCTCCATTTTGTTTGTTTATTTGCTTTGTTCCATCAAGAATCCTTCACTGGCTGGATGCTGGATGCTCACACCTGTAATCCTAGCTATTCAGGAGGCTGAGATCTGAGGACCCCAATTCAAAGCCAGCCCAGGCAGGAACAACTTCCATGAGACTCTTATCTCCAATTAACTACCAGAAAGCTGGAAGTGGCATTATGGCTCAAATTGGTAGAGTGCTAGCCTTGAGCACAAAAGCTCAGGGACAGCGCCCAAGCCCTGAATTCAAACCCCATGACAGAACAAAAAAACAACAACAAAAAAAGTATCCTTCACTTGAAAAACTAACAATATCAGAAAATCTCCTACTGTGTCAAAGAGACATGGAACACATATAACTTGGAATATCTTCCTTACTGTAAAGACTACTCCCTGGCCACTCCCTACATATTCCTAATAGACTTAGAAGAGATGCTTGTGTTAGAAATTTAAACTCTATTCTTCCTTGTTTCCAACTGCCAAAATAATATTTTAGTGTGTGTGTGTGTGTTGTTTTCTGCTAGCTCAGTCTAAAAATGCTGACTATTCATGGGCTTAAAGTTTGATGATTTCTTCAAATAATTTAGAATATAATAGATACCTGACACCTATTGATTAACTGAAAAAAAAGCTGGAAATATCAATAAGTGACATCTTTTCCTTTTTTTTTTTTTTTCAATTGGTCATGGGGCTTGAACTCGGGGCCTGGGCGCTGTCCCTGAGTTCTTCAGCTCAAGGCAAGCACTCTACCACTTGAGCCACAGTGTCACTTCTGGCTTTCTGATGGTTAATTGGAGATAAGAGTCTCACAAACTTGCTGCCCTGGCTGGCTTTGAACCGTGATCCTCAGATCTCAGCCTCTTGAGAAGCTAGGATTATTACAGGCATGAGCAGCCAGCATGCAGCAAGTGCTATCTTCTTAATAATAGCATTATTTGATCCAGCATCAATGACTTAGTAATATATCATAAAATAGGTAAGTAATCTTTATGTAGTTTTATGCTCTTTTCTTTTTTTTTTTTGTGCTGCCAGTCCTGAGGTGAGGCTTGAACTCAGGGCCTCGAGGTTTATGCTCAAGACTAGCATTCTACCACTTGAGCCACAGCTTCTTTTCTGGATTTTTTGGTGCTTAACTGGAGATAAGAGTTTCACAGACATTATTGCCTGGGCTGGCTTGGAACCTCCATCCTCAGATCTCAACCTTCTGAGTAGCTAGAATTATAGGCATGAGCTACCAGTGGCTAATTTTTTATGTTTGAGTTCTTAGTAATTGGTGACCTTTATGATAAATGTAAATTTTTCATGCTTATATTATTGATGACAGTTCAGGAACGAAAAGACTAAGGGGAAATTATTTAATTCTATTTAACTGTTTAATTATTTAACTGTTTAATCCTAGTCAAAATACTAGTAACGAAAGAAGTAGGCACAATGAGTGTTTGCCTTGCATGCATGAGGCCCTAGGTTCAATTCCTCAGCACCACATAAGCAGAAAAAGCTGGAAGTGGCGCTGTGGCTCAAGTGGTAGAGTGCTAGCCTTGAGCTGAAGAGCTGAGGGACAGCGCCTAGGCCCATAGTTCAGACCTCACGACCGACAAAAAAAAAAGAAGTAGGCACATAATTTCAAAGCTATGTCTAAAGAAGACAGATTCAACTCAATATAGAGAAATTTCAACTATCCAACAAAGTTCCAAATGATAAAGGTATCACTGCGGGAAGTATATGACCCTTGGTGGGGATTTCTGTTCTTCGTGGGAGTTAGTATTACTACACATGCCTGGAATCCTTGCAGATCTCAATTCTATGAAATTCAACAGTGAAAGCAGTGGTAGTGGGTATTTTTCTCCCCTTACCTAATCCCAACCCAAAGTTTGAACTCAAATGGTCTGATGACATATTTGTGGGTCAGTACCCCAGGAATTAACACTCACAGTTCCTCTTTTACACTTCAACATAACATCAGTATAGATTCTTGAGATGAATGCATGCCTGGTAAGCATAATTTGTTCTATTTCTGTGCAATATTAGTTTTCTCCATATGACTATTTTATGCTGTCTTAGATAGACGTCAAGTCCTTATTTTAATTTAAACTTAACAATTGCATTAGTTTTATATATTTATTTGGGTCTGACATGAGAGGTTCAAAGGCAGGAAAATGTGGTAGGACTAATGGTACAATAATAGTAAATGGATAAAAAAAATTCCTGGGGAACATACAAACAGTGGTTTCTATATCTGCATGCCAATATGGTGGTGAAGGGAAGAAGGTTATTGGTAGCGAAGGGAGGAGGGGCACTTTTGCAATTCATTTTCATCTCTGCCATGGTATATGTATTATTTGAAAATATAAGTATTATGTTTACCATAATAAAAGAGCAAAAATTAGGAATTTTTTTTTTTTTGAAAGCTGAACTTACTATAGTACATGACTCTGTGTTGTTTGGTTCCTGGATCTCCAGTAGTTGACAAGGATAAGATGTCCAAGAAAGGTTCCTTCTTTGCTCAAGTGTGTTCACTCATATGAGTGTATAAATGAATGAAATGGATGAATGAATGAACAGCTTGCTGTCATTCTGTTGCAAGTCTAGACTTCTAAGAACAAAGAGCTCTCTCAACACTTTGGGATATTTTTAATAAAAAAAAAAAAACAAGAATTGTTTATAATTCTTACCATTGACTTTCAAAGTAATTCGCTTGTAGTCTACACCACCATAGCTGATCATGCAGCAATAAACACCTGCATCCTGCAACTTCACATCTGTGATGTGGAGAGCAACATTTCCTTTGAAGAGCTGGTCCTTCAATAGCCAGGCCCTCTGCCTGTAGCTACTGTGTTGATCCTTCGGGTCCTCTTCCCCATTTACAAACTGAATAATCTGCTTCTCTTCCTTTTCCCAGTAAACAACCAATGACATCAGGTCTAATTGATTTTCTACTGGGAATCTGCATTCCATCGTCACATTACTGCCATATTCTACAACATATAGGTCCTTGGAGACTGTGATAGTAAATGCTGCAAAGGAAGATGAACAACCATCAGAACATGTAAATTTCTCAGAACATTTCCAAACTGTGTACAGCTTAAAATCATATCACTTGGTGAGTTACATGATCATTTTATTGAAGGACTTGCTTCCTTAAAATACATATTTTAGTCGGGCACCGGTGGTTCATGCCTGTAATTCTAGCTACTCAGGAGGCTGAGATCTGAGGATCACAGTTCAAAGCCAGCCTGGGCAGGAAAGTCCCTGAGACTCTTAATCTCCAACTAACCACCAGAAAACCAGAAGTGGTATTGTGGCTCAAGTGGTAGAGTCCTTACCTTGAGCTGAAGAGTACAGGGACAGTGCCCAAGCCCAGAGTTCAAGTCCCACAACCAACAACAACAACAACAACAAAAACATGTTTTATTCAATGGGTTTGAAACCTATTCAAACACCATATCTTATTCCTATGTAATAATAATAAAATAACATTAACTAAGCAAGTTGTCATAACTCATAAATATATATTACTATAAAAATATATAATAATGGAGTAATTATAACTAGAAAGACTTAGTATCCTCCAGAATGTCCCTTGATTGAACACCTACATGCTTTTAATAGACTGAATAGTAGCATCTAATGGCCTTCCTTCTTATTGCCTTAAATTTTCATTGGTTCTCTGTCCAGAAGAAATACATTTAGAAATTTAGGCAGAGTCTCAGGATGTTGGGTCACCTTGACGATTTCCATGTATGTTAGAATTGTTCTTTAGAATAGCTTCATTGAAGTCAGACACTGGAGGCTCATTCCTGTAACTCCACCTACTGAGGAGGCTGAGATCTGAGGATTGAAGTTCAAAGTCAGCCTGGGCAGAAAAGTCTGAGACCTTTTTTTTTTTTTTTTGCTCATCCTGCGGCTTGAACTCAGGTCCTGGCCATTGAACCTTTTTGTACTCAAGGCTAGCACTCTACCACTTGAGCCACAGTGCCACTTCTAGCTTTTTCTGAGCAGTTTATGGAGATGAGTCCCATGGATTTTTCTGTCCAGGCTGGCTTCAAACCATGATCCTCAGGTCTCTGCCTCCTGAGTAGCTAGGATTATAGGCATGAGCTACCAGCCCAAGGCTGGTAATGAGACTCTTATCTCCAATTAAGAACCAAAAAGCCTGAAGTAGAGCCATAGTTCAAATGCTAGAACATTAACCTTTGAGCAAAAAATCTCAGGGCTAGCACACAAGTCTCAAGTTCAAGCCCTATGACTGGCACAAAAAAATAAACTTTATAGGAAAGATATCTCATTAGAAAGTCATAAGCAGGAAATGGCACTGTGGCTCAAGTGGTAAAGTGCTAGCCTTGAGCTGAAGAACTTAGGGACAGCACCCAGGCCCAGAGTTCAAGCCCCACAAAAGACAAAAAAAAAAAAGTCATAAGCAATATATATAGAATGTTCCCAGACTTGTTTATAACAAACAAACTGAAGTATTACTATAGGCTATTTTCACAGAAATATCCAGTAATTATAACTGGGAAATAGGTAATCTGCTCATTTTGGATTGCCTATGTTTTCTTTATCTTTATATAGACATAGCTGACTTGTTTATAAAATAAAGGGAAAAAAGAATTTATTGCCAGATGCCAATGACACCTGTAATTCTAGCTACTCAGGATGCCGAGATCTGAGGATCACGGTTTGAAGCCATCTGGGGCAGGAAAGAACATGAGACTCTCATCTCCAATAAACTTCTCAGAAAAGGCTGGAAGAGGTTCTCTGGGTCAAGTGATAGAGTGCGTTGAGCACAAGGAGGCTCAGGAACAGAGTAAAGCCCTGAGCTCAACCTCTACACTGGAAAAGGAAAAAAACAAGTATTTTCCTATAAGAAAATGACATGCACTTAAAATTACTATTTTAGTTTTTAACTTAAGGTTAAAATATTTAACATACAGAAAATAATAACAGGATTTGATTACTTACCATTAAGTAAATTATAGTAGGCTGTGAATATAAAGATACTAAGTATCCTCATGTTTCTGGAATTACCTAATAATAGAAAAGATAAAAAAGAAGAGTGAACACACCATGTGACAGTATTAGAAGATTAAAGTTTTAATATATAAGTAGCTCCTAAAAATAAGTTAGAAAAATTATGCATAAACTACTTCTAAACTAAAGTACTACTGAAAACCAGACTAGGACTGATTTGTGTGGAAACATAGCAAATGATTTGGAAGTTCAATAACTTCACTTAATAGTCCAGACCCATTAAAGCCATATGATGAGAGTCATATTAAAATTAGTTATAGGCCCTGAAAAAAAATGTAATGGGCAAGTAAAGCCAAGAAGAAGGCATTATACCCAAATCCTCACAGCTATTTTATGGCTTTTCATTGCAACATATCTGGAAACCCAAACATGCAAAAATGTCAAGGCAAAAAAGGAGTTAACTTCCATTCCTCCCACCTTCCAATGCTTTTTCTCCCCTACAATCAAATACGTTCATGTTATCCTTTAACTACTCAAGATTTCCACTTTATGGGCTGGGAAGGTGGCTCAGTAGTCGAGTGCTTGCCTTGCATGCCTGAGGCCCTGGGTTCGATTCCTCAGCACCACATAAGCAGAAAAAAGCTGGAAATGGCACTGTGGCTCAAGGGGTAGGGCACTGGCCTTGAGCTGAAGATCTGAGGGACAGCGCCCAGGCCCAGAATTTGGCCTCCATGACCAACAACAACAACAACAACAAAAAAAAAAAATTCCACTTTACTATCCCAACTAGGCCAGGTTCACTCTTCAAAATTTTACTTTCTGCATCTCACTTCAAATTGTACAGCCTATGTTCTCAGTGATCATTCACTAATGTCAGAGGGTGGGAAGGAGAAAGAATTAGATTGAGCCAATTTATACTAAGGTATAACTGTCTCATGTTACTTTTCCAGAAGTATCTTCCTGGATTGCTATCTCCATTTTTAAAGTGTTACTAATTCTTTCATTCAGCAAACACTGAACTGTATAAGATACTACACTATTTCAGGCACTGAAAAAAGAGCAATGAGCAAGAAAGGATATCATTCTTATCTTTGGGCTTATATCCAAATAGAGGAGTAAAAGATTTGCATTGTATTTTAGCCAATCTGTCCACTATAAATGTATTTCCTCCTTTGTGTTGTACATATATTTACACACTTTGATTAGTCAGTTTTCCCGCTTAGTGTCTCTCCAACTTTTATGTATATTCACAATCAATGTTATACATGTATAAAGCAGATGAACAGTTTTAATACAATTTTATATATAATTATGTAGCTCCTGAAAAATCAATAAGAAATACAAAAAAAGGGGAGGGGGCTGGGAAGGTGGCTCAGTGGTAGAGCGCTTGCCTTGCATGCATGAGGCCCTGGGTTCGATTCCTCAGCACTACATAAACAAAAAGAAAAAAAGCCAGAAGTGGTGCTGTGGCTCAAGTGGTAGAGCGCTCGCCTTGAGCTGAAGAGCTGAGGGACAGGCGCCCAGGCCCAGAGTTCAGGCCCCACGACCGGACCAAAAAAAAATAGGAAAATGAGGGAAAGGTTTATATATTTAGCACAGAGAATAACAAATAAGAGATAAACATTGGGGAGAGAAGGGATAATGGGATAACCACAAGGAAGGGAAGGGGTAACAATGAGCAGCAAGTAATGTTCTCACTGCCTCGCTCATGCAACTGTGACCCCTCCAGACAGCATCTTTACAATAGAATTTAAAAAGGAAGTAAACATAGCAGAGAATGTTCATTTACCAATAAAAATATATACTTAATTGATTAGGGGATACATTGTATACATCTATGAAAACACCACCATGAAATCCCCTTTGCACTACTAATTTATGCTAATAAAATCTTTTTTAAAAGTATATTTAAAATATGACACCATCTTTCATTTATTAGCTTGACCAAAGTCATAAATATTCCTCATATTTAGTGTTTGTAAGTATATGGTTAAATAGGCTTTCTTTCCCACTAGTGGTAGGAACATGAAGTAGAACATGAAGTAGTGATAGGAACATGAAGAACTTTTTTTTAGGGCAACTTGGTAATTTGTTAATATTTTAAATGTTGCTAGGAACAGTTAGCTCACTTATCCTGGCTAATCAGGAGTCTGAGATTGGTAGGACTGTGGTTTAAGGTGACCCTGGATAGAGAAGTTGATAAGATACCTTTTTGAACCAAGAGTTTAGCTCAATGGCTTGCACCTGCTACCCAGGCTGCTACAGAAAAGCCTAAAATAGGTGCATTGTGGCCCAGGTGCCAGCTTAGACAGGAAGCAATACCATAATCTTCCAAATAAACATATACACACAAGAATATGTGTAAAACGATAATATTACTATCAATAGTCACAGACTGAGAATATCCTGATAGCCTAAATCATTAGATGCATTTGTGTATGTGTGTGCACATGCAGACATGCGCGTACTGGTTCTGGGCCTTGAACTCAGGGTTTGGGTGCTAGCCCTGAGCTTTTATTCCTCCACTCAAAACTAGCATGCTACCACTTGAGCCATACCTCCACTTCTGGCTTTTTGGTGGCTAATTGGAGTCAAATGTCTCAATGGACTTTCCTGCATAGGCTGGCTTCAAACCATGACCCACGAATCATTTTGGTTGTCAAAAGAGGTTGGTAATTGAGGAGAGTTGCTATTGGAAATAAGAATTAGAGACCAAACATGCAGCTAAGCCTCCTACAAGGCACAGGACAGCACCCTTACAACAAAGACACATCTGGTCTAAAATGTCCATAGAGTCAAGATTGAGAAACTGCAATTACCATGAGCATTTCAGAAAATAAGCATTCATTCAGTCTTTTTCCCTATTAATCCTTAAAAGTGACTATTGTCTTATTATACATTAAATACTGATTTTATTTAAGATTATGATATCTTTTGCTGCATAATATTCACAAACATCTTATTTAATTGTCCTATGATATTTATTTCCCTTATTACATATAATATTGTTTCCATACCTATTTGTATATTCACCAAGCATCTATTTATTGTATGCTAAGCCCAGGCTAGGCCTTGAGGATACATTTTCCTAAAGGGAATTGTAAATCAAGGAGAAAGAATAGTTCTTGACACATGCTGAATACTGTTAACATAAACATTGTAATTTTTACCCAGTGCTAATATGGGTTACATATTTACCTATTTCTTTTCACTGTCTTGTACTAAAGCTTGAACTCAGAGCCAGCACACTCTTCCTTAGCTTTTCACTCAAGGCTGGCATATCTTCACTTCAGGTTTTTATTTGATGAATTGGAGATGAAAGTCACATGGGCTTTTCTGTCCGAGCTGGCTTCAAATCATGGTCCCCCAATCTCAGCCTCTTGAGTAGCTGGGATTATAGGCATAAACTGAAGGAGAAAATGTAAAACCTGGGAAGGAAGTAACCCAAAGAAAGTAACCTGAAAGACCACACGGACTGAAATTAAGTAGAAGGAAAGATTTATTGCCAGCAGAACAGAGAAGGCCAAGTTCTCATGAAGAAAGGGAGAAAATGGCGCCATCTGGCTCTTTGGAAGCCCCTTTTATATTGGAGGCTGGAAGTGGCGCAGGTGCTGCCATTGAGGGCAGAGATTAGGCCTGCAAGGTGGGTGTTTCCTTACAAAAGCCACCAGAGTCAGACACTAATACTGTTTTCTAGTTGGATTGCCGAGAGGTAAAACAGGAATTTTTTTCATCAATTTGTTTAGTGTTCAGTTCTTTGGGCATTACCACTTCCTCTGTCTGTTTATAGTACTGGTTTTCTTATCAAAGAGTAATAGTATGAACCCTTAGAGTCAAAAAAAAAAAAAAAAAGATATGTGTACTAGCACCAGCACTTGAAAGGCTGAGCCAAGAGGATCACTACCAGTTCAAGGCCAGCCAGGGCTACATAGCCCTTTCCCCCTCCCCAAAAAGATGCTCTATATCAAAAGGGTAAAACAAAATATGTCATTATCCTCTTGCTAGTACCAGAAACACAATTTTTATTTCTCTCTATCCTCCCTATAGATGGAGAGGAGGTATAGCATCTAGGCCTGAGAGCACATGAGGCTTCAGAAAAACACTTAAGAGGGGCTGGGGTTGTGACTTAGTAGTAGAGGGCCCTAGGTTCAATACCTCAGTACCACATAAACAGAAAAAGCCAGAAGTGGCACTGTGGCTCAAGTGGTAGAGTGCTAGCCTTGAGCAAAAGAAGTTCAGGAATAGTGCCCAGGCCCTGAGTTCAAGCCCCAGGCCTGGCTAAAAAAAGAAAAACACATAAGATACTACTGAAAGACCTGACCAATAATTTACCTGGGACCTCATTTTATTCTGAAATTTAGCCTCTGACCTACTGCAGTCCTAAAGCCAGAAAATACTGCAGAAAGCTAAGTGCAAACAGTTCTTGGAAAACTGCAGATGGTGCTTGCCTAAGATAAGCCCAAGGTGAATTGTCTGAGATTCCAGATAACCCCCACCTAGGAGTGGTGACCAATATCTAACCAGAAAGTCCAGCAGTTCTGCAGGTACTCCCTTTACCACACCCCTTGATCTGACCAATAACCCTTTCTAGATTCCTTCCCACCATTGCTCACGCAAATCATGTTTTAGAGACGTTTTATGATTTTCCTGTGGTTTGTGTTGATTTGTCAAGGAGTGATATGATGAGTGCAAAGCCCCAGGCTTCCCCAAAGACTGTATAAAACTGCTGCAAACCCTAGGCTCGGGCCTCTCTGCGTCACCAGTTGTTTGCTGTGTGCGCAGAGGACCGAGCTAGCTCGCAATTAATACCTGGCTGCTGATTACATCGATCTTGGTCTCTGGTGGTCTTTTTGGGGTCCCGAACTGGAGCATTTTACCACTAACTCTAAGCAAAGCATTACTGAATAAAACCAAGGGACATGAAATCCTCTGAAGAATCATGCCTAATGATGTCAATGATTATAGGAGAGTCTTGTGCAGTTCTTATCATTTAATGTATCTGGTAGAAAATTTTAGGTGTGATAATATGGTAATAGATCTGATTCTACAATTACCTATTTTGTCATCATCTTTTGTCCAGCAAGACTCCATTCTCTTGGAGTACAGCAGTCACTAATGAGGGGAGTGGGGGGGGGGCGGGGACAAGAATGGAAACTATTAGCCGGGCACTAGTGGCTCACGCCTATAATCCTAGCTACTCAGGAGGCTGAGATCTGAGGATCACGGTTCAAAGCCAGCCCGGGCAGGAGAGACCGTGAGACTCTTAACTCCAATAAACCACCAGAAAACCGGAAGTGGCGCTGTAGCTCAAGTGGTAGAGCGCTCGCCTTGAGCTGAAGAGCTGAAAGACAGCACCCAGGCCCAGAGTTCAAGCCCCACGGCTGACCAAAAAAAAAAAAAAGAATGGAAACTATTGTGTAAATAAACACTCTTTGACTTCTAGACCCCACACCAGGGTAATTAGCCTAAGAAAAGAATGTAGACAACAACAATGCTCTTATTTCCAGTAAGACACTGTAACCCAGTGTGGATTTCTCATAAGAACAAAAGACATTCACAGAGCAGTAAAGGTGAACTGGGGAAGTAATGATGTATCATTCAGAGATAGGGAAGTGGGTTTGTCCCTGGGGGAAGTCCAGTACTATGCTATGGAAGCCATAGCATTCCTCTCTTCCCAGGCCAGGAGGAAAACAAAGTAAGACTAAGTTATAAGAGAATTGATCTACAATGGAATATTATGCAGCCATTAGAAATGACAAAATAATGGCATTTGCAGGGAAATGGATGGAGCTAGAAGGAATCATGTTGAGCGAGGTAAGCCAAGAACGAAGAGACAAACGGTACATGGTCTCCCTCATAAGTGGATGCTAAATCCAAAAGGTTAGGTGATACGACAAAACTAACAGGACTTAAGAAACAAAGAACTCCCGCTCATCTGGTTGAACCACTACTAAATATCCTCATGCTGCTGATCACAAATATGGTATATAACATGTGAACACTGTTATATATTACAGACTGTGGTAGACAATTTGCTCCAGGGAAGTTAGAATGAACTTGTGACTTTGAAATTATGTAATCATTTAATCACAATCAAAAAAAAAAAAAAAAAAGAACCTCGGGGAAGGGAGGGAGGGAGGGGATGGTAGGGGGAAAACAATGGAGGGGGTAACAATGTTCAAGAGGAAGTGTACTCATAACCTCACTCATGTAACTGTAACCCTCTGTATAGTAGCTTTACAATAAAAAAAAAAAAAAAAAAAAAAAAAGAGAATTGATCTAAGCTGGCCACAGCAGCTCACCCTGTAGTCCTAGCTACTCAGGAGCCTAATATCTGAGGATCCAGGTTCAAAGCCAGCCCCCCAGGAAAGTCTGTGAGATTCTTATCCCTGTTCAACTACAAAAATAAATAAATAAATAAATAAAAATAAAGCCAGAAGTGGAACTGTGGCTTAAGGGGTAGAGCACCACCCTTGAGCAAAAGAAGTTCATGGACAGCATTTAGGCTCTAAATTCAATCCCTAGGACAGGCACCACCACCACCCCTCCCCCCGCAAAAAGGAGTTGACCTATTGAATCTTTACACAATTTCAAGCTCTATCAAGCTTTACTAAGTCCTGTGCCCAAACACTTTTCCCCTTAGTCACGCTGAGACACATTTTTTTTTACATATGCTTCAGTTCCCCACAGAATGTTGGTGGCTTTCTTAAAGACCACTCTTAACTGCTGTCTTGCCTTCTTCCACTGAAAAAAGCTGATTTCTTCTGCATGATACCATAGTTCTCCTTAAATATTTTGGTCATGTTCATGATCAACTGACATCCCTTCTGGAGAGCAATTTTCAGATTTCACTAAAGGCCTTTTAGACACTAGCTCAGTAGTTAGGTTTCTAAGAGTTTATATGAGTAAATAGCTAGCAATGTCCCAAAGTGTTACATGTAACAAAAGTCATGAACTACTATACATAACCTCTAGATCTAGCAATACGAGATTTATCTCATTTGGTTAGCCAATATGATGAAATGTATAAATTAAAACTTATTAGAGGTACTCACTATGAACTATATAACTTGTGGGTGGGAATGAGGGAAAACGGGGAGAAAGCAAGGGAAGCAGTAACATTGTCCAAAAAGAAATGTACTCATTACCTGACATATGTAACTGTAACCCCTCTTTATAATAACAATAAAAAAAATTAGGGCTGGGAATGTGGCTTAGTGATAGAGTGCTTGCCTAGCATGCATGAAGCCCTGGGTTTCATTCCTCAGTATCACATACCAGAAAAAACTAGAAGTAGCACTGTGGCTCAAGTGGTAGAGTGCTAGCCTTGAGCAAAAGAAACTCAGGGACAGTGCCCTTGCCCTGAGTTCAAGCCTCCAGACTGGGGAAAAAAAATTAAAAGCCGGGCACCAGTGGCTCACACCTGTAATCCTAGCTACTCAGGAAGCTGAGATCTGAGGATAGTGGTTCGAAGCCAGCCTGGGCAGAAAAGTTCCCGACTCTTATCTCCAATTAATCACTAAAAAAACAGAAGTGGAGCTGTGGCTCAAAGAGCTAGAGTGCTGCCTTGAGCAAAAGAGCTCAGGAAGAGTACCCAGTCCCCTGAGTTCAAGCCCCATGACCAACCAAAAAAAATATATTAAAAATATTAGAAAGCATCTGGGTGCTAACAGCTCATGCCAGTAATTCAAGCTAGCTTAGGAAGCTAAGATATAAAGATTTCAGTTCAAAGCCAGCCCAGGAAGGAAACTCTGTGATACTCTCATCTCTAATTAGCCCACAAAAAGCCAGAAGTGGAGCTATAGCTCCAGTGGTAAAGTGCTAACCTTGAATGAAAATACTAAAGGAGAGCATTCTGACCCAGAGTTCAAATCTTAGTGCTGTCTCACACACACACACACACACACACACACACACACACACACACACACACACACACGCACATTTTATAAGGATAGTTAATTAATAGAGAAAGCATCTACAGGCTTAGTGGCAGAGTGCTTGCCTAGCATGCATGAAGCCCTGGGTTCGATTCCTCAATATCACATAAACAGAAAAAGCCCAAAGTGGTGGTAGAGTGTTAGCTTGAGCAAAAAGAAGCTCAGGGACAGTGTCCAGGCCATGAGTTCAAGCTCAGGACTGGCAAAAAAGAAAAGAAAAGGAAAAGAAAATGCATCTACAGTAATTTATTCAGATTAAAAATAGTAGAATATCTGTTCTCTTATTCCTTTTTGTTTTCTTTTATTTTTGCCTGTCCTGGTGTCTGGCTGCTGTCCCTGAGGTCCTTTTGCTCACAGCTAGCACTCATCACTTGAGCCACAGTGCCATTTCTGACTTTTTCTGTGATTAATTGGAGATACAAGTCTCAGACTTCTCTGCCTAGGCTGGCTTCGAATCTCAGCCTCCTGAGTAGCTAGGATTACAGGCATGAGCCCAATTTCTTATTCCTTTTTATAAGACAACTGAGCTGGGAATGTGGCTTAGTGGTAGAGTGCTTGCCTACCATGCATGAAACTCTGGGTTCAATTCCTCAGTACCACATACGCAGAAAAAGCCAGAAGTGGCACTGTGGCTCACATGGTAGAGTGCTAGCCTTGAGCGAAAGAAGCTCAGGGGCAGTGTCCAAGTCCTGAGTTCAAGCCCCAGGATTGACAAAAAAAAAGAGGGAAAAAGAAAAAGAAAGAGAGGGGAAGAGAGAGAGAGAGAGAGGGAGGGAGAGAGAAAGAGAGAGAGGCATCTGAGCTTTTATTTAGGACAATGTCAAGATGTCTAGGAACTATTTTTAACATTTTCACTCAGGCTTCTCCAATGCCTTTAAGGTCCTCTGAACAGATAGAGCAATGAATTTAGGCTCCAGAGTCCTGTATCTGAGGGCAGGGAGGAGACCATAGGAGATGCTGTAGATAGCATGAATTACCCCAAATGCCAGACCTAGACATCCTGAATCAATCCAGACTAGGAATTTCTCTATCACTCCAGCTAATCCACCTCCAGATCACATTTCACATAAGCATATAAGGCTGACAGTAAAGCAATACATCCACGTCGCCATGCCTTTTCCAAAGGCCAGCTATATTGTTGCCAGACATATTGTTGCAACGGCAATAACTAGTAGCATCGCGTTCCACTCTTTGCCCCCTTTTCTCTCCATCGCCAGAGGGTCTAGCCTCAGCCTTTAAAACGCCTAGGAGCTGGGCTAGAGACTCAGGGCAGTGGGGACCTCTCCTTACCTGCAGGCGGCGACGCGGCAGAGACTCGGAGACTCGAGGGTACGGGAGACACAGGCAGGCAGGGGCTAGTGGCGCCTTGGTGACAGGTGCTAATTACTTTGGGCTCCAGAGATTTCCGCCCACTGGGGCTGAAGCCCCTCCTGGGGAAAACCAGAAAACCAGCTGGGCGCGAGGAATTGGAGAATTGGGAGTCAGTTTCCCCTCCCAGCGCAGAGGGGCGGGGGAGGAAGTGGAGAGGAACGAGATCCTCAGATGTAAACGAAACCAAAAGTGGAGTTTACGGTCTGGGTTTTCTCAAAAAATGAATGAAAGGATCGGTGTACACCACACCCCTAAGCCCAGCCTTTGAGAAAGAAGAGACCCCAAGAGACCTAGTTCAAAAACCAAAATACAAACAAAATGCTTGGGGGGCAAAGTTCAAGTGCTAAGCATAGCCAGGACCAAAAAAAAAAAACAGTTCAAAAGATTTACAGGCCATTTCCAACATGTGGTCATGTGAGTATCACGGTTGCGCTGGTTCCCCAACTTTGTCCTTTGTCTCTCCGTTTTTTTCCCCTTCCCTTCCCTAATTCAGCCAAATGTATATACCATACCCAGGGTACCAAATCAAATACAGTGACAACAGGGGATAAACCATAGTGTGAACCAAAAACACAAAAGAAAAAAGAAATCACATAGTACCTAAAAACAACAACAAGGGTAGGGGGCGTTGGGGAGGGAGGGAAAGTGGGAGAAAAATGAGAGTGGGGGGGTAACAAGTTCGACAAGGAATGTACTGACTACCTTACTTATGAAACTGTAACCCCTATGTACATCACCATGACAATAAAATTTAAATTTAAAAAGTTCAACAGATTACAACAAACTTATCCCTGATATATTTTAAGCAAGCCAACCTCTGCAACCATGAAGATTACAGATTTTGATTTTTACCTTTAGTATTCAGATATTTGGGGATGGAGGCATGGCTCAGGTGGTAGAGCTCCAATTTGTAAGCAGCAAACCAGTCAAGCAAATATAAGGCCCTGAGTTCAGACCTCAGTACTACAGGGGGGAGGGGGAGGAATCTTCAACTGTAGAATCCAGACACCTTAGTAAATTCTGCCACTAGATTTCCTGATCGAAGCCTTTTCAAGACAACACATAGATGGTAAACAGCATACCCACATGGCTTCGGTTTTTATTCTAGAAAGTAGGTGTGCATTGATAGTAGGAAATATATTTTTAAAACGTGGACTTTTGTGACTTCCTCAAATTCCTCGACATAATGAAACTTCACTTGCTTAGTCATTAAAAGAACTTCCCATCATGACCTATACCTTTTAAGAATGCTCTGGATCTCTGCTGTACTGTCATTCTTGGAGTCCAGGTTAGGGAAGAGAATATTTTAGGCCAGGGGGGGAAAAGCCTTTCTGGAAACTGGAAGAGTGATGGGCTCAAAATAAAACCAAGTGCTATGTGACTGTGTGACTATCACAAAACTTGGTGTCTAATTTACTTAACCATTTTCACTGTTGGGCTTTTTGGTCCTTTCCTCCATCTATAAATTCAATTTCTTATCCTTTGCCTTTTCCACTTCCACATTTCAGTTCAAAAGACTACATCACAAATGAATATGTCATCCACATTGTCTTGCTTGTGACATTTCCTTTGAAGTAAGACTTTTCACAGACTCAGGTTTTTATTTTCCGTCTCAAAAAAAAAAAAAACACTGGAGATAATATTGCTTTAAAAATCTGGTAGAGAATGTGGAATTCTCTCTGGCCCCAATAAGGTTAAAATAGATTTTTGAAAGTCCAGCTCAGATGCTCTGAATCACTTTTGAAGTCTCAGAGTGGAATACAGCAGTTTCCCCAAACTCTAAAATTTTAGTAAACCAAGAGACTTTTTGTGACAATCCATTTTATGCATATATGGACACACATTCATGCAAACAGGTCTCAGGAATAACAATGGTTTATGCTGACTATGCGTAATACAGCTGACAGTTCTTATTTAATGTTTTATTTGCCTAAAAGTGATAGTTAAGATGCAGGATCTTAACCCTGTAGTGGTCATTACTCCCCAGGTCTAAAAATATTGGCCTGCAGAACTGTCTGCCACTAACCAGCTGAGTTATCTTGGTCAAATAATTCACTGAGTTATCAGGATTAAGTGAGAACCTCATAGTTTCTGTGGTCTATAAATCATTTTTAAAACCAGAAGGGGAGAGTACTTCTTTTTATGAAAAAAGTAATATTTAAGATCCACATTAATAAACAGTAAGGGAAGACTAGCTGTGAATGAAATTTGAAGATATTGATAGGAACAGAAGGTATTTTACTCAGCTGACTACTCAGTGATTTGCCTATTAGTAATCTGGTGATATGTGTTCTTGCTCATCTCTTGCACCTGCATCCACACTTCAGCCATTCTCCCTGGAGTTAACCTGACCACAATACTGTAGTAGATTCTTCTCACAGACAGCAAGAGAACATTCATCTGACAGTTGGACAGCTAGAGTGATTGGTATTCACTTTATACAAAGTTGTATTTGCGCAAATGAGGATTTTAAGTCCCAAAGGTGATATGACCTCTCCTGATCTACACAGCTAATTGAAGTAGAGCTCTTAGTAGAACTCAGATCTCCAGATGGATGCTGTTTTTGTGTCCATAGCTACTTCTATTTTATAGAATACTCACAGAGTGTAATACACATCTAAGCCAAAAAAGTTCATTTAACATCCTCTAGAGATAGAAAAAATAGGATGTATTTAAAGAAAGAGAATTTCTATTTTTTTATTTTTTATTTTTTGTCGGTCATAAGGCTTGAACTCTGCACCTGGACCCCGGCCCCCACTCCTCAAGGCTAATGCTCTATCACTTGAGCCATAGCACCTCTTCCAGTTTTCTGAGTAGTTTATCGGAGATAAGGGTCTCATGGACTTTCCTGCTTGGGCTGGCTTTGAACTGCCATCCTCAGATGTCAGCCTCCTGAGTAGCTAGGATTACTGGTGCGAACCACTGGTGCCCAGCAAGAATTTTTATTTTATTACCTCAAAAGTATATCTAAGTTAGGGCTGGGAAAGTGGCTCAGTGGTAGAGTTGTTTACCTTGCATGCTTGAGGCCCTGGGTTCGATTTCTCAGCACCACATAAGCAGAAAAAAAAAAGTCGGAAGTGGCGTTGTGGCTCAAGTGGTAGAGTGCTAGCCTTGAGCTGAAGAGATGAAGGACAGCGCCCAGGCCCAGAGTTTAGGCCCTACGTCCTGGCCGGGCACTGGTGACTCATGCCTGTAATCCTAGCTACTCATGAGGCTGAGATTTGAGGATCAGAGTTCAAAGCCAGCCCGAGAAGGAAAGTCCATGAGACTCTTATTTCCAATTAACCACAAAACACCAAAAATGGAGCTGTGACTCAAGTGGTAAAGCACTAGCCTTGAGCTGAAAAGCTCAGGGACAGTGCCCAAGCCCAGAGTTCAAGCCCCATGACCAACCAAAAAGAAAAGAGAAAGAAAGAAAGAAAAACAAAAATATATCTAAGTCAAAATAGCACAGACAACAAGCCGGGTGCTGGTGGCTCACGCCTGTAATCCTAGCTACTTAGGAGGCTGGAATCTGAGGATTGAGGTTCAAAGCCAGCCCAGGTAGGAAAGTCTGTGAGACTCTTATCTCCAGTAAACCACTAGAAAACCGGTAGTGGCGCTGTGGTTCTAGTGGTAGAGCACTCGCCTTGAGCTGAAGAGTGCAAGGACAGTGCCCAAGCCCAGAGTTCAAGCCCTACTACCGACCGACCAAAAAATAGCCCAGACAAGAAGGAGGCATTAATCCTGAAAATTTTAAGTTTTGCAATTTTAGTGAAGTGAATGGAGAAATACGGAGTTAAGAGAACAGCAGTAGCAAGCCAGGGCTGAGGATCTAGGCTCTCTGGTCATTGCTGATGTCACGAGTCACCATTTCCCATTCATATTCTACATATTCCATTCATTTGAGGGAGGTAAAAACTCATTGCTGCTAATGTGCTGTTTCTTAAAGTGTCTCAATTACATCACAATTGTTGCTTGAGATAGGTGTTTAGAGCATACTTTCCAGTGCTCTACTATAGAGATGCTGGAGCCAAAACTCTTTGGGGGAATCACCACTTTGATGTTGTCTCCAAGTGAGTCATGTTCATAGTGAAATTTTGAAAACTAGAGCTTCAGTATGCAAGGAATAGAATGAACCAAAAATTCCTTGCAAAGATACCTGGAATACCCCTTTCTCAAATTCAGCTCATCTTTGATTTTTTTTTTTTGCCAATTTTAAATATATTTATTTAAGACATTGCATTTTCCACTTGCAATACAGTGCTTTATAAAGTGCAATGTTCATATGTTTCCCTGTGTACATGTTCCATATTCAAGTATTGAGAATGCCCATTAATTTACTACACCAGCTTAACTTTTAAAAACTGCTATACAAGTTGCTAAATTTGGGCCTTTAAATGCTTTATTGTGTGGAACAATGCTACATGTATGTTTAGGTGCCTTAGTCAACCTCTTCAATGGTGGGCCCAGAGGAAGCACTGCCGGAAGGAGGAGCTCTTCCACCAGGGAAGCCTCCAGGCATGCCTCCTGGCATGCCACTGCACTCTGGTATAGCTTGGTGATGATGGGGTTTCAGCTCGTTTTTATCAGTTCAACTCTTCATCCTGCCTCAACCTGTTCCATTTGCCAGGCTCAGAAATGACATTCCCAGATCACTTTCTATCAGAAGCTGAAGAAATTCTCATGGACCATTACCAGAGGAAAAAGCAAAGAGTTCTGAGAACTGGTTTATAGCAATGCTTTAAGAACATACATGGAGGTTGAGAAGTGCCACCAATTTACGCACTAGCATTAAGGTTTATTATGCATGTGAACTGCTTGGAGATGAGTTGTTTTCATTACTTGCAGAATATGGTAGGGCATAGAGTAACTGGGAAACATAAGTTTCATTCATGCCAAGATTACAGGCATGAGCCACTTGTGTCCAGCCTTCCCATCTTTTTTATAGAATTGTATTCTTATGGATCTGTCCTTCTTAACCTAAGTACTCAGGGGCAGGATTAGCCTTTCGAGTCCCTGGAATTAACCTGACCACAATACTGCAGTAGAGATTCTTCTCAGAGGCAGGGAAGGGAACATTCATACTGACAGTCAGCTGGGGTGTTTAGTGCCTTTTTCTTTTTCTTTCTTTCTTTCTT